AAAAAAAAAAAAAAAAGAGATAGTTTTTTAAATAGAGAGAGATGACAGCTCCAACGCCCCCTTCCTCACCACAGCTCCTTATCTGGTGTAACCCCTCCCCCAACACACACACACTGAGGCAATGCACACTCATACAGGCAACATTGCTTTGTGCCAGTTGCAGAACTAAGTGCTGGTAACAAAGGGCTGGTAACTTAGGTGACAACGCCCAGGCCTCTGTCCTCCCCCTCTCCCTTCCCTCCCCCCCACTCCAGCTTGCTTTTGCGAAGTGGTATTTCCAATGCCCTGCCCAGTACCTGGTCCACAGCTGTGTTCATGTAACTGAATAAGGAATGACACTCCAGACACCCTCTCATTTAGCCCCAGACTGGAATATCAGATGTCCTGGCATCTGCTAAAGCCCTTATTATATATGAGTGGGACCATTTCTTGGTAACCATGGTGACAAGGCATTCTTTACTCCCAATCTCAGAGGCTAATGCCGTTTGTTCAGTAGTTTTCAGGTTGGGACCGTGCACGGGAATGCATTTTTTCTCACCTCTGGCACACCTGGGTCTCCCATCACCATCCCCACCTCAGATGAGCAAGCCTCTGTCTTTCTTCTCACCTAGAAAAGAACACAGCTTTTCATGCCAGGCAGGTGGACTTCACACCCACACCCACAGGTCTGATGACCGTAACCAAATTCTCCCCTCAAATCAAAGGGGGTATGATGTATGAGTTCACAGGGGAGACGGCCTTGCTTTTGTCTGAATAGTTTCGCTTGGAGAGTTGATGCATTACCTCAATTCTTTCTGCCTGCTGTATTTCCAGGTGCCACTCTCCACATGCCAGGCCCAGGAGGCCATGAGGTGCCTTAAACGTACTCACCAGGGGAGGCAACCACCTCTAGACCAAGGTGCCTCATCTCTGGGGCCTGGGGTCATGTACAGCCCTGCTCCAGGGGCAGAGAGGACATAAATCAGGAGAGGATGACACAGAAGGCAGCTGTGAGAATCTTGCTGAACACTGCACAGCTACGTGACTGGACAAGTGACACCACACTGGTCCTGTTGAGCTGCCATCTATTTTCTGTCCAATATCTAGTCTCCTCACTCCTAAGAATACATGCAGAGATTCCTCCGGG